TTTTTTTTTGCGCCAGCCAGTGGAGACTTTCATGGCATTGATGGCCCGAGACACAACCCGCAGGTTGGAGCGGACGTTGTTCAGCTTACTCTTAATCGAACATTGGAGCGCAGCTTGCTCTTGACCGAAGGTTGGAGCCGACGTTGTTCAGCTTGCTTTTAACCGAAGGTTGGAGCGGACTTTGTTCAGCTTGCTTTGGTCCCCGATGATCAATGCACTGCCCATCGGGGACCTCGATGACAGCCCGCTCCCATAATCTTCTGGTGCAGCTTGTGCGGGGAGGTGACTAGATCACCCCGAATGAGACCACTAGAGGACACATAGCCGTGGTGATCGAGTTGAATAGCCGGTACTGGCACGGATGGCGATGGGAGTGTTGTAGCACCGCGCTCAAGTCATGTCCGTAGACGGGCCCATGACCTGTCAAGTAGGAATCGACGAGAGGTTCGAGATGGCCGCCGCCGCCGCCAATTATGACGGCGGCGGCGGCAGCAGCGGCGGCGGCAGGGTCCGGCGCGGCGTCGTGTGGTCGGCGCCGACGAGGTTCGGCGCGGCGACGAGAGCGGGAAGTTCGAAGCGAATTCTGGTAGCGGCTGCCGCATCTAGGACTGGCCTCTTCTTCCGCGACCACCGCACGTTTGAGAGCTGCTCCTGCGAGAGCTCGAGATGAGTGGGTGCCAAGACCAGCACCCCTCAGTCGATCGCTTAAAGAATAGCCGCTGCTCTTCTTCTTCGAGCGGATCACCTCTCCGACCCTCCTGGATGACGCCTGGTCAAGAAGAGCAGCCACCCTGTCCCGGACAGTCTGCCACTCCTCCGTGCATTCGGGGACCGTCTGCTTCCCCGCCGCTTCTTCTCCCATAAGCCTCCGAATGCCCTCTACGCAATAAGCCTGTGTGATCCGTGGGCCTGCGTCTTGACCCACGTGCCTTCCAGCAGCGGACCCTGCCGCGGTGGATGTCGTATCCCGCACTGCTGTGTCCGTACGTGGCTGGGCTGTCGCGGCGGACCTTGTCGGCGGCGAACCCTCTGTCCAGTGTCGCAGACAACAGCCCTCGCGCTGTCACCAAAACCTTCTGTGCTCGCCTTCAAGCCACGCTCTTCAATGATGCTCTTGCCTAACTGTGTGGCGACGAGATTCAGAGACTGGTCCGGAACGAGGAGGAGCGACAGGCTGCCGTGGCCAGGGCTGCTGCTCTTCCTGAGGAGAGGCCGTCCAGGAGGGTCGGGGAGGTCAATCTCATCAAGTGGAAGAAAGTCGATGGCTTAAGAGCTAAGCTGAGGGATACCGGTCTTGGCGTCCATTCATCTCGAGCTCTCTCAGATGCAGCTATCAAACGTGAGGTTGGCGCGGAAGAAGAGGCGGCCTGGAAGGCACACACGAAACAGTACACAGCGGCTGGTGAGCTGTGTCTCAAGACGAAGAAGGGGGA